AAAAGGAGGAAACTAGGGTTTTCTTAAATTTGGGTTTTGATGGGCTGTTTAATATTGGGCTGGGCTTATGGGTTTATTTTAGTAAATTTCATACTCAGCTTTTTAATTTTTTCAATTGAGTCCTTTTCTTTTTTTTTCTTCAACTTCTCCCCAAAATTTTTCATAAAATTTTTTTATAACGATAAATCCGAAACGGTATGCGAAAAATTTCGGTACCCGGTAAGTACCGTTTCAATAACAAAATCGGTACGTATGCCGGTACGGTATTGACTACTTTGCTCCGACCCCTCTTCCTCTAATCTACCCTGGATGGCTGAACCCGATCCGGACCAGTTAACGAACTGCCATCTCGACCGGCTACCGAGGCTCCAGCTACTTTGCCGCCAAGCTCCGGCACTCTCCGGATCTCTTCATCACTCTCCATACCTATGAGACAACCTTTTGTTCAGAAGAAAATCAAGACACAAATGTAACAGAAAGAATGGCATTGATCTGGGAGATAGGACTTTCTCGGAAAAAAGTCATTCTCGAGAAAATAAAGAAGACCCATTACATAAAAGTCAAAATCACGCAAAACCCATATCGTTACCTTAATGAGAAAACATCAAAACATCGCCTTTCACAGCAAACCCAAATGAGAAATTTTGGAGAAGTTATGAAATCACAAGGAAAAAAAATCAAAATTTTTAAAAGCTTGGTGGTGACGATTTTTACCTTCTTTGGAGAATTAGATGCTCCAGCCATTAACAGGTTGCGCTGGGTCAACCTATTGATGCTAGCCAGAAGAAATGGATGGCTGGAGCTAGGCGGAACGAACCCAGTGCCTGGCACGAAGGCTCCAGAGGATAAGACAGTAGGGGGAAGAAGATGAAAGCTGATAAGTAATTAAAAAATGATTTTTAAAATATTAATTTTATTTAATATGATTGTTATAAGTAGTTAATAATTGATAAAATAATTTATATTTATTATTGTGGTTACAATCACTCACTAAAGTCATATAAAAATGATTTTTAAAATATTAATTTTATTTAATATGATTGTTATAAGTAGTTAATAATTGATAA